TAGTGAAATAAAGAACCATCTTTTCATATTCACATCAGCACGTATTTTTAGTAGAGTTCTGAACATAGGACAATCTCACTGGAATTAGATGGAGTGTTAATAGTTTTATATTTTATTTCCCTCATAGCTAAGAAGCCTGAGCACTTTTTCATATGTCCAGTGGTCATTTAAATTTCTTTTAAAAAATGCCATCCCATTGGATCTGGCATGGTAACCTAGTGGCTAAAGTCCTCACCTTGCATGCACTGGGATCCCATGTGGGTGCTACTTTGTGTCCCAGTGGCCCTGCTTCCCATACAGCTCCCTGTTTGTAGCCTGGGAAAGCAGTAGAGGACGGCCCAGGGCCTTGGGACCCTGCATTTGTGTGGGAGACCCAGAGGAGGCTCCAGGCTCCTTGATTTGGATCGTCATAACTCCAGCCATTGCAGCCACTTGGGGAGTGGGTCACTGGATGGAAGATCTTCCTCTCTGTCTCTCCTCCTCTCTGTATTATCTGAATTTCCAATAAAAATAAAATAAATTTATTTTAAAATGCCATCCCATTTCCTTTGAGCATTTTTCATAGGGTTATGTTTTGCTGTCGTTGAGTTTCTGAAGCTCTTTATAAATGCTAGATATTATTCCCCTATTGGTTGTGTAGTGTGTAAATATTTTCTCCCATTCTGTTGGTTGTTTCTTTCAATTCAAAGACAAAGGAATGCTTTGCTGAGTAAGTTATTCTGGGCTGACAATTTTTGCCTTTTACAGTGTGGAATGTATCACCTCATTCTCTTCTAGCCTGTAGAGTTTTCCCTTGAGAGATCAGCTGAGGGCCTGATTGGTGCTCCCTTATAAGCTAATTGTTTCTGTTGTTATGTGCCTATTTAAGGATCTTTCTCTGATGTTCAACTGAAAATACCTTGAGTATTGTGTGTCATGGTGATTGTTTTTAATGGAGCATATTGGGAGGTTTGTACTCTGCCTCTGTTTTGATTCACAATTTTCCATATTAGGGAGCTTTTCAATGATCATTACATTGAATACATCTTTAAGCCCAACTTCTCTATCTGCATTTTCTGGAACTCCCATAACTTTTATATTTGGATTTTTCACAGTGTACCTAATTTCTAATGCTTTTCTTAGCTTGACTCAGTTCCTCTTCATGCTTCGTCACTGTTTTATCCTTAGCTCAGTAGACGTCTTCCAATTCTGAGATTTTTTTCCTTCTGCTTCACTCATTCTATTATTGAGGTATCCAACTGAGTTTTTAGTTTGCTGCATTGTGTTCATTTCTAATAATTCAGCTTGATTTTGTTTCAACGTTGCTATTTCCTGTGCAATGTATTCCTTAAATTCCTTCGTCACTTGCAGATGCTTCTCATTTTTAAAAATAAATTTTAAGACAATTTTTATAAAAATCTCTATCTGGCAGTTCCTTTATGGCTTCCTTGGTTAACTCTGAGGTTGACAAAGGCTTTTGCTTCTTTATAGGTGAGGTGCCATTAATTCCCTCTGTTTCTGCACCTGACTGCTTGGGCTCTGCCACTCTGCTTTTGTTCATGGTCACATTAAATATACCAGCAGGAAGGGTATTTTTGTTGCTGGGTTCACCTCCTGAGTTCCCTACGAATTTACCTTCCCAGCTGAGTGCCAGTGAAGCTTCGATTGCTGATCACTGCTGGGCATCGGATCATTGCAACACCATTCTGCTATCTCTGTTGCTTGTCCATGACCACAGGTCCCCAGGCAATCAGCCTTTTCTCTCTTATTTCCCAAGATTGTACCATCTTTGCTTCATCTTGGCTAATATTTCTTTGTTTAAAACTGTCTTGTTTAAGCTAAATACTAAAATAAAAATAGACGGAGACAGCTGAAGAGTAATCTATAGACATTTTGAGGTGTATGGAACCCAGTTGAATATAAACCAAAATTGAAATGCCTATGAAAAAGTCACAGGATGTAGTTAAGAACCTGCATTTTCCTATTAACATATTGTTAATCAATACCATGTCAATTAATGCCATAAGAGGTTGTAAATGGTTATTGATGTTATGTAGAGGTTTTTAATTGATTGGGATGATACTTTGCTGACTTTACCTTCAGATCAGAGATGGTCTCACCAAGAAATCATTGAACCCACTAGGATAATAAGATGCTGGACTTTATGCTTGGTAAATACTTCCAATGAAAGAACCTCAACTGGATTTGAACTGTGGTAATGCGGCAAGGCGGACAAATCCACCATGGGGAGAGGGTTCGGGAGCAGGTGGGGGGAATCCCAGCGCCCATAACACTGTACCACATAATACAATGTAATTAATAAAAAAAAAAACTGTCTTGTTTAAAACCCTATTCTGCCATCTTTGTTCTCTCTCCACATGTTTTTTTTACCACACTGCTTCACTGGCTTGAATCATCTTGAATACTAAACAATGATCTCAACTGAACATATGAATTTGAGGAGATTAAGATGGTGCTAAAATAAATTTAACCTGTTCAAAAGAATGAACTGGATAACCCAGGAACACATAATTAAGACCAATTCTCATTAACCTTGAAAGCAGTTATTTATATGCTCAGAAATTTTCCTTGCCAAAGATAAGGGCATATGAAAGCTAGATGAAACTTAATACCAGTTAATATCTTCTGAAGGATGTGACAGGGTAAGAATAGTGATTCAAGTCCTCTCCCTGCAGGAACCCCCTGAAAATGTTGGGAACACATAACAAGGCATTTTCAGCAGGCACACAGAGGATTACAGAGCACTAAAAGGAGTTTTCACAACGGGAAACGCCCTGGAAGCAGGACAGCTCTCTGATTGTGGGATTTGTACAGTTTCTTACAATGAACATTGTTTCTACCAAAATAATAAGGGTGTATAAGACTGTGAGGAGTCCGTGAGACTTAAATGACAATGTTTAAGAAAATAGTTATAAAATCATCCAAAACAAGTATAAGGCAAAAAATATTAAGTTTATTAGACCTTCATAGGGGCTAAACATAAAAGAAAAACACGTAGCAGGGTCCCAAGGCTTTGGGTCGTCCTCGACTGCTTTCCCAGGCCAGAAGCAGAATGAGGACTTTAACCACTGCGCCATTAAGTTCTAAAGACAAGAAACACTCTTACGTTTTAATTACTTACTGACATATCCCTAAGACTTAAACTGCAAAAAGTGACGTCTTTAAATGTAATACTTATATAGCTGCATATTCTTTCCTAATAAAAGCAACTTAGTATGTCAATGATCGTGAATGTAATCAATACCCAGTGACTAACATGCTTCATCATAACATCAGTCTGGCTGTTAAATTTAAAAATCAAAAGATGTGACATGTCAACAAGAACATGAAGAGAAGGCACTCCCCTCAGGTGAGCAGGAACTTATGTTCGTATAGCACTATGAAAAACAATACTGAGATTTTACCAAAAATTTTAAAATGTAGTTTCCTTCAGAATATAACAATTACCAAAGAAATACACAATGACTTTAAATTTAAAAATGAATATTTCTGCAATTCCACTTGTGGGTAAAAATCTCAAGAAAATGAACACAGGATGTAGAAAAACATTGGCATCCAGTGTTGAGGACAGCACTGCTCGCACAGAGCAAGTATGGGAACAGCGAAAGTACCCATTAGTGGAGAGATGGAAAGGGCATGTTATAGGTACTAAATATTATATGCACACATGTATATTCACCTGCATGTATGAGGGTACTTCAGAAAGTTTATAGAAAAGGAAAATAAGATAATTAAGCTTTTGTTTAATTATATTTCACTTGTTTATTCACCTTTTCTAAATATTTATTTAGAGGCAGAGTAACAGAGATGGAGACAGGTGAGATCTTTCATCTCTTCCCTTTCCAAAAGGCTTAGAGGCTGTAACTGGACAAGGCAGAAGCCACAAGCCTGAATCCCCATCTGGGTCTTTTGCACGAGCCTCAGGAGGAGTCTGTGTATTTGGGGGGTTTGGAGGGGGGGGGCGGAATAGGGAGAGGCAGAGAGAGAGGAAGAAGATTTGGTATTACATCTATTGGTTCACACTCTCCAAATTGTCACAATGGCTAAAACTGGGCAAGGCCAAAGAGAGCAGTTTATTCAGAGTTTCCCATGTGGGTGCAGGAGCCCAGGCACTTGCACCATCCTTCATTACCTTCCTCAGCACATTAGTAGGGAGATGGATAGGAAGTGGGGAGGCTGGGACTCAAACTGGCCAATATGTGGGAGCCCACATTTGCAGGTGGCAGCTTAGTCCACTATACTATAGTGCTGTGCCTTCCCATGAAAGCTTTTTAAAATTGCTCTGTGCGTACACACACACACACACACACACACACACACACACACACACACACGGCGCAGGAGCAGCATTCAAAGATCTAAGCTAATGAGCATAGTTCTTAGAATTTGGGTGCTTACTGTGCAGCATTTGCACGACCAGGAAGGTCAGCAAGGGTGAGGCTGAGGCCAGTCTTTCCCTGTTCTCACCCTTCCTCTAGTGTGGTTTTACTGTGCATGAGTAAATGATTGATAAAATGGCAATTTTAAACCTGAGGGCTTAGTATAAAATGGAAAGCAAATAAATCACACAGAAAGTACAAGATTTTCCCTATCTTCCACTCCAGGTGTTTAAGTTAAAAAAAATTATCAATAACCTTTTCTGTGGCTGAAAAAGAAATTTTCAGAAAGATATGACTGAAATTGTTACAATATAAAATTATAATTTCCAAGAGGTGTGACCAAATTTGCTTTAGAAAATAAAAACTAACACCCTCCCCAACACAGTGTACTCTAGCTCTGTTGCTAGCTGTCTCTCCCTTTCGGGTCCTGCTGATGCCCCAATTCCCAAGAACTCACTTCGGTCTAGAGAAATATGGACCCCCTTCCCCACGTGCTGTCACCAGCCAATCAGAATGAAGTTCATCAACCAATCTAAGGGTTGCGGCCATGCGAGGTTTCCAACTAATCAACATGGCTGCCGCTACCGTCACCAACTGATCAGCCACTTGTCAACACCAGAAATGATGAAGATCCCAGTTCTGGGGCTGGGCACCTGGAAGGTGAAATGGCCTGACAGGTAGAAGATGGCCACCGAACACCTGGCTAAGGGCGTTCTGGCGGCGGGGATGAATCTTGGACTGGGAGACTTGCTTTGCACCCGATACTGCCCAGGCCTCTCACACTTCTCCTCAAGCCGTATTAATTCCATCTGGTCCATATCTGAACTGATATTCTTTGTGGTTCTAGGATATTACTTGCGCCCCATGAATGGCCCATGGAAGAGGGAAAGGAGATCACTCAGGGCTCCTTTTTTTTTTTTTTTTTTTAATTGGAAACTCAGATTTACAGAGAGGAGGAGAGACAGAGAGAAAGATCTTCCATCCACTGGTTCACTCCCCAACGGCCACAGCAGTAAAGGCTAAGGCAATTCAAAGCCAGGAGCCAGGACTCCCATGGACTTCCGGGTCTCCCATGTGGGTGCAGGGTCCCAAGGCTTTGTGCTGTCCTCGACTGCTTTCCCAGGCCACAAGCAGAGAGCTGGATGGGAAGTAGGGCAGCCTGGACACGAACTGGTACCCATATGGGATCCCTGTGCTTTCAAGGTGAGGATTTAGCCATTCATGACACAGATTCCTAAGCCAAAGTTCTTAACATCTTAAAACGCTATCCCTGCTCTGACATAATTAGACCTAGAACTTTTGTAAAATAGATTTTAACACATTATCTAAAAATACGATTGCAACTATGGCATTTTGTAGTGGCATTTAATATTTTGAACACTTTTTAAAATCATTTCTATTGTTTTACTTAAGGATAATGCTGAAAAGTTGAGGACGTTTTCTCTTTTTGTAGCATCTGAATGATTTTATGTTAACTTTGAATGACTTTCTCTAGAACATCTTTAAAAATTTCCTGTGGAGTACCTCTCTCTCTCTTTCTCTCTGTGTGTGTGTGTATCATTGATTCATTTATTACAGAGCTGTTTAACATATTTTTGAGTTTTCACAGTTGTTCTAGAAATCTTTTTATACTGTTATTTTTTTTCCAAATTGTTGGTGCATAGCTGTAAATAATATTTTTATTTATTGATTTAATATATTTTGTCTATATTTTGCCTATATGCTCTCCTTTCCAAATCACTTCATAATGATTTGATTAATGATTTGATTAATCTTTCCAAAAGTTTATTTTATTCAGGATTTTCATAGAACTAATGACTACTTTTGTTGATCTTTATATCGCAACTTTGATTCCTAATCCACTGATATTCCTTTCCGTGTTTTTGCTCCCTCTGAATGTGTTCATTGTTCTTTTTTCACTCAAAATTATACTTGTTTTATTCTCGTTTTGCCACTCTGAATCTATTTCCTGTTCAATGAAGGCCTCTTTACTAAATAAATCCTATACAGCTCATAGAATATCAATTTTGTGAATTATTAAGTCCATTATAAAGCTTCCGCTTAATCAGATTATGGTACTCTCCTGTCACCCTACTGTACTTACAATCTCTTTTCTTACTTGAAGCCACTTGATAGTAACTTGTGCTGATAACATCAATGGTGTTTATTTGGGCTTGACACATGCCACCTAGAGTGCTGATTATTTTCATGCTGTGTGATGTCTAAGAAGATTGGATGTATTTTACCACTTGTGTCTCATTTATTATTATTAATCATCCATTGCACATTTGTTTATTTACTCCTTTGATTATGCAGGAAGTACGGTATCTCTATAGTCATGCATATACATCCAGTTTTTGCCCAAATAAATAAAGCTGTTGGAACTCCAATTATCTGTAAATTCATTTCTGACTCTGATATTCCTAAATGTTTGGACTCTATGATACTAGTGCCAGTTCAGTGACTTAATTTGTTAAGTGACACCACATTCTTAAGTGACAATTGGGAAATGTGGGTTGGCTTTCTTTCTGTTTGGAAGGAACATTTCTGTTTTGTTGGTTTCACAGGCAGGTCCAGGAGAGGTGACTAAGACAGTGAAGGTGGCCATTGACATGGGGTACAAGCACATTGACTGTGCCTCCCTGTACCACAACGAGAGTGAGGTTGGAGCAGCCGTGTATTCCAAGATCGTAGACGGCATCGTGAACCGAAAAGATATCTTCGTTGTCAGCAAGGTAGGGCTTTCTTGCTGCGAGGACAGTAGAATCTCAGCCATTTCAGGATTCTGTCACAGGGAAGCTAACATAGCATACAACATGGAGTAGTTTCTGTTTTCCTTAAAAAGGTCAGTGGGTTTGTTCCAAACTTGACTTGCTTCTTAAAGAACTTTCATACCTTCATGAAAATGTTGCTGAGATATATTGCACATGGATTTTTTTTTTTGGCCTCATGTCATTGATTTGGCTATTCAGAAAAGAATACAGTAGATATCCTCCAATTAACATCACATTCTTAAAGCAAAAATCAGAAGTTGGGTGGTGAGTTGCCACAGCTGCCATCTGGGTTGCCTGCATCTCATGTCAGAGTGCCCAAGATAAACGTACAGCTCTACTTCAGTCCTGAGAGACATCAAATGTTTTCTCCAGTTTTTATGTTTCTGCCACATGCACAGAGACTGGATAAATTCCCCAGCTGCTAGTTTTAGCTAGACCCAGTCCAAGAAACCAAGGGCATTTGCAGAGTGAACCACTGAATAGAATATCTCTTCCTCTCCCTGCTTTTCCCCCTAGCTAATTTGTCTTGAAAATCAGGTAATCATCACTTTAATTTATGTACATAGCAATTCTTAGAATCAGAATCACCCTGAGATGAGAACAAAAATTCATATTCCAATTTCTAACCCAGACTTCTGGATTAACAGACCTTGGGCATGATCTAGACAAAGGAGGAGGGATAGCATTGCCAAAGAAAAATGAAAACAGTCATCAGGTCTTTACTAGCCATCAAGTGCAAAAATTTCTAAGAAATTTGATGTTCTTGGATCACACAATGAGACCAGAGAGGGTAAACAAATGTGGGAGATGTGGGCAAAGTACAGGTCAGGAGAGTTTTGGTGTGTTTTGTCAGAAGCCTGTATTTTTAAACACAGATCACTGCTAGGTTTTTAGGTAGGGTAGCTCATATGTAAGGGCAGTTTGTGTTGTATGTAGAGTATTGTATATGAAAGGAGCATGCCTTTGACTCAGGGGTAGGAGTCAGGTAAAGCAATATTATTAATAATAGTAAGGTGTATCTTGGCCTAGTGGGAGTTGGTGCAGAAGAGGAAGTGGACATGAAAGATGGTAAAAAAAAAAAAGCAAGCCCTATCAAGAAAATGCAGGTATAGTCTGAGGTAGTGGAGAATTCATTAATTCCTTTGCTTGTGATTTTGAAGCAGAATGTTAAGAACACAATATCAAGAGTTGAGGGTTCAAGTCTAGCTGTCATATTGGAACTGTGGGAATCAGATTCAGAACTTGTGAAACAAGACTTGGAGAAATTTCTAGACTGAAATTCTGTAATAGTCATAATGTATTTCTGTTGTACTGTAAGGCAATTTTTATCTTTCATCATTGTTGTTTAATAAGAGTTGTAAGGATTGGGGTGTGATGTTTATTAGTATAGAAATTTTACCTGAGTACTCAAAGTAGGGGGACATGTAATTGGGATTTCTAAGGCTTACCCTATAGTTTGGAGAGATTTTTCTTTTGAATAATCACAGCTGCTGCTAACTAGAGATTACTACTACTAGTGTGATGTACTTACTTCTGAATACTGCTTTTTTTTTCACATTTCTGGGAAATATTGTGTTTGTTTTCATTTATTTTGATCTCCTTTTCCCTTCATTCACCTGTCAGCAGGTATTTTTTTCAGCCCCAGAAGATTCAAATAATACCTGTCATATCTCCCATCAAATTTTTCTTACTGTTTTAAACCTCCCTTCAGTGGGAATTTGAGAAAAGGGCCCACTTTGGAAACTCCCACAGGGAGACCAAGAACATTCTTGAGCCTAATATCCCTTTGTGCTCTGTGCAAAACCTGTTATGTTTTGTTGGTCATTATCTGGTCTTGAATGTATTTGATCTTCCAAGTAACTTTGGTAGAGCCAAGGAATTGACGCAGTGCTAGTTCTGGGTTGGGGTCACATGTTACAGCAACCCCTCTCTTCTTTTTAGCTGTGGTGTACCTGCCACAAGAAGTCCTTGGTGAAAACAGCATGCATCAAGACTCTGAGGACCCTCAATTTGGAATATGTAGACCTTTACCTCATGCACTGGCCTATGGGATTCCAGGTACTGTTCATTAAGTGGTTCAGTAAGCGGAATTCCTTGCTGTGTTCCAACTCCTTTTCATGGCAGAAAGACCATGAACTGGCCTTCGGGGATGGGTTCTACTACTTCAGACACCACGTACTGGCGATGAGCTTGGCAGGCATTTTAACATTTCCGGGTCTCAGCACAGGAGAGGCTTGGATTGGAAGATCTTTGAAGTCCCCGCTTTTCTCTCTTAGGAGCAATACTTTTATTCCAAGAGAAAAGGTAAAGTATTTCCCCCACCGTCATTGTGTGAAAGCAGATATCTGACGAGGAACTATTGCTACTCAAGGCTGCATCTTGTGCCATTCCCAGATTCCCAGTGATGTCCTTGGCCCTGCCTCTCCTTGTACATTCCTTCCTCTATTATGCATCTTCACTTTCTCTATTTTTCATCTTCACTGTGTCTCCAGTAGGTTAGAAATGGGAGGATTCTTCTGGTTAATTCTCTTCTATTCAGTTAATTTCTGCACTCACAATTATTCCCTGACTCCCCCACCACCAACTCGCTTTAAGTCAGCAACATTCCATACCTCAATCTCATGTGAGAGATAGCTACGTTGTCCTTGCATATCAGCCCTTGGTTGAATTTTAGTCTTCCTGGCACAGGGTGGTCACAGGAGTGGTTCCTGGGACACGCAGGAGTCTTTGGAAAATTCAATTTAAGAGATGGATCTTGGCCTTCTATCATTCTGGTAGGGGGTGTGGCTAAATAAGCATGGCTCGTATCCATTCCTATTATATAATAAGCCAGGTAGGCAGAGGCAAGTATGAATGAGGCAAGAGGATTCCAAATTAATACCTGCAACTGCTGGGCAGTGACTGGGTTTATACCATTTCAGAGGGTTGTTCATTGTCTTCTACCTCCCTCGAACCTTTGTATTCTTGAATGAGAATGCTAAAAAAAAAAAAAAAAGAAAGAAAAGAAAAAGAAAAAGAAAAAAAGATGAAAAACATCCTAATAATGAAGTTAAGAGAAGCTTTTGAGATGAAGAAAGTGAATTTTGCCCTTCTCATTTACCTGAAGTTACTAATCTGTTTTCAGGTAGTTAGTGATGAATCAATGTTTTTCCTTTATCCCTTATGATAGATAGACAGTGAATTTAAAGGCTGGCAAGGACTTTGTTCTTACAAAGGTGCCCAATCCAAGCCTGGAAAAGGTATCCTAGGCAGGAGTTGTGTAGTGGCTAGGCTGTGATTTGGATGCAAATATCCTGACACATACAGTTCTTTCCAAGTATCTCAATCCTCTCTCTGCACAGACTCCTTAGCAGTGGTGACTGTGGCCCCGGTAAGCTCATTTTCTTCTGATTCTTATAGCATGGAAAGAAAGAGTTGCCTTTGGATCACTATGGCAGGGTTATACCCAGTGAGACTGACTACCTGGACACATGGGAGGTAAGCTGCCTCATATCCAGTGACAATTTCATCCATGCTTATGGATCGTCAGAAATGAAATTGTGAGTCCTTGATCTTCTTGTGTTCAAAGACACCTGGCTTATCTCCTTGAGACACAAGGAGACATAACGCATTCTGAATTATGAACAGGTGCTCGAAGAACTCAGAGACCTCAAATGACTTCACATGACTATTAGCTTATTGTTTTGCTTTTCCTTAAAGCTTTATTTAGAAAATAATTAAAATTCATATTCCATTTCCTAATGGTATCTACTATTGATAGTTTATACCTCCTATTATTTCTCTTTTCAACATTCTAAATTGCTGACAACATGGTAAAGTTCATGTGGGAGGAAATAGGAGGTATAACAGAAGGAGAGACTGAATTTTCAAAAATTTACAGGGTCTAAATGAAAAATATTGAGGTCTTTTAATAAAACAGAGAAAAGGGGAATCAGAGGAGTGGCAAGTTTGGGAATGTCGTGGAAGTCAATCAATAAACTGGCATCAGGAGTTTAGGTTAAAGATATTAAGATTCCTTTAGGGCATAGTCTCTAGCATGGCTGACCAAGTACATATATTTTTCTAACTAACATGGGAGTAAGAAAAAGGTAATGTTTACAAATCAGGAATAAAGAGTTCAGTTGAGTAGAGAGTTTCAATTCAGCAGATGAAATTCTAGAGCTACTATTTGAGTATGATGGGTGATGTCACCTAAGTGTGTGCAGTAAAGCGAGAAAGAGTAACAAGAGGGATATCGCAGATGTAGTGAAACCTCTGGACTGGGTGCTCCCATCCTCGCCACCACAGAGTGTCTCCATGTCTAGGGTGTCAAGACCAGTGGCAAGGAATTACAGCTCTGTTGCTCCATTAACATTTGTTTACAGAATACAGGTAGCTATGGGTTCTCACTAACTCATTAGTCACTGGCTCAGTGACCACTGAGGGCTTATTGTTTGATGCCAGCATGAAGGTCGGCTTCATTCCGAAGCTGAGGGCAAGGCTGGCTGGTCAATGAAAACCTGAGGTCTTGGTGTTGCTCTCTACTGAGTTCCTTGTCATATTATGTGGTGAGAGTGGATCAGAAAAAATGATGTGATACAATTGTGAGCAAGAAATGTAAACAAAAAAGAGTAGCAATATTCGTTTGGCATCATACCAATGGGTATTCAAATTAATGGGAAGCATTAGCTAAACAATGTTGAGTGCTTACTAGATTCCAGATTTAGCTTAAGTTTTTTTTTTTTTTAATGTATTATGTCATGGACACATTCAAAACATCCTGTGGTTTCTCTTGAGGAAATTCAGGATTCATGAAATCATATAAATTGCTTAGCATATCCCAGATATAAAGAGATGGAACTGGGACAACACCTTGGAAACATAAACACTTTTGCAAAGTTAAATAAAATATTGTCAAAAAAATTATGTCTAGAATACTATGCCAAGTCGATAAGGGGCATGAGTTTCAGAGGGACAGACGGTGCCTGAAAAAAAAAAAAAAAAGAAAGAAACAGAATTCTTTACTATTTTTTCAGGCAATGGAAGAACTGGTGAATGCAGGACTGGTGAAGGCTATTGGAGTGTGCAACTTTAACCATGAACAACTTGATAGACTTTTAAAAAAGCCTGGTTTGAGGCTCAAGCCACTGACTAACCAGGTAAGCTGATAGGAATGTCTTTGAGGCCTGTGTTGTGGTATAGTGGGTTAAGCCAGTATCTGCTATGTGTTAATTCCTGTCCTGGTAGCTTCCCCCTAACGGTCTGGAAAAGTAATGAATGACATCTCAAGTGTTTGGGTCCCTGCCATCTATACAAGAGACTCCAATTAAGCTCCTGGCTTCTCGCTTCAGCCCAGTCCAGCAAAGGCAGTAATCTGAGGAGTTTACCAGTAGATGGAATATCCCTCTTTCTTTGTTACTCCCTCTTTTCCTGTAACCATGACTTCCAAATAAATCAGTGTTTTAAAAGACCTTCTTGTCTTCATAAAGATAAAGTCTTAGTGACTACAGATATAAGAAAATAAATTATGAGGATAGTTGCTTTGGAGGAAAATATAAGACAGAAAGGAAATGGGAGCTATGGAATGTTGCTGTTTTCACTGAACACTCTGTGAAGGCCTTTTTGAACAGGGGATATTAGAGCCTTCAGATGATACATGTATTCCTAAAGTTGTAGACTTAACCCTTTACAGCAGGTGGTATCTTGAACCTGACATAGTCCATCCCTAATATTTATAGACCCAAATACCCAGGGCTCAGCATGGGTGCTGTGGATACTCAGTGAGAGTCAAGACATTGATACTAGTCTTCTCTTCTTTTGTATTTTTCATAGAATACATTCTGTCTAAATTTTTGTGGTCATGTGTGATTTCCTTTGCAGATTGAGTGCCACCCATATCTTGCTCAGGAGAATCTGATTAAGTTTTGCCAAGAAAGAGGTGTGTCCGTGACTGCCTACTATCCTTTTGGTGGCTCGTGGTAAGGATGCATCAGTGACTATGTTAGTTCGAGTCTTGGCCGGATATGAATGCCTCATTTCCATTTCATTTGGACAGTTGGATGAGGTTCATTAAATTAATTGGGCAGTGTGTGGTCGGACTACAAGTTATCTCCAAACCTCCCAACCCCCAGGGTGAAGGCTGGGAGTTTTTGCTAGAATCCAGATAGTTGTATTTCAAGTCTACCTATAAGGTCATCATAAGGGCCATGACCCACCCAAACAAAACATTCCATGGCGCTTTCCCTTAGTATCCATCAGCTACTCTACCAGGACATCTCAAACAATTCTCAGTTTTTAAGAAACATAAATCTTAACTATCTTCTTTTTCCAGAACCTGATATTTGTGTATGCCGTGTTTGATCCATTGAGAAATAATTGTTCTGTCAAAAGAACTTATAATTTCTCTTTGGAACTCCATTGTAACCATCACTGCTTAACTAAGGAGCTATTTCCTGAAGTTCTTACAGGAGCACTTTAACTGATTTCCAACCTTTTTATGACCTACTTTTCCAAATGGCTTCCAACAGTTGCGTCACATTTTTGCTTAAATTTCCATCAAGCCAATTATATATTAGAATGGTCTGGAAGGAGCAGCTGATGTGATCCCTTCTTGCTTTTGGCTTTATGTTCCCCTGTTGTTGCACATTTTGTATGCATCAACCACATGGAGATTCTTGTGTTCCATGAGCAGAACATGTTATTTCAAGTCTAGATACCTTAGCATATGTTGTTCTATTTACTTGGAAATTTTTATCTCTTTTTATTTAATTGAACTGTTTATTGTTTTTTAAATGTTAGGTTCAATTAAACATTCTTATTTTCAGGAATCCTTCAAGAATTCTATTTTCATATTTTGTGTGCAGTCCTTGCTACATTGACAAGCCATTATTCCACTCAGGCTGTTTTATTAATTAAAGCTTCTTGAGTACAAGAATTCTGTCTTACGCATTCTTTTCTTTTTAGCTCCTGTGACATGGTACAAGTACCCCACTAGGATGAAATGACTAAAATTTGTCACCTTTGTATGTTCTGTGTGATCTGAAGCATGTATGTTTGAATTTGGTAGGAGCCCACAAGCTCTTGGAAGAATAGGTTATATTCCACACATGAACATTGTGGGAAGTATCCATGAAAGCATGTGGCATGAAAAAATGGCTCTGTAGTTGTTTGGTCCTGTCCCTTTTCTGGACAAATACTGAGGAACAGAGACTTGGCCTTCAAAATGTCATATAGTAAACTTTGCACATGCTTACAATCTCAAATTTTGCATGGTAGTGAATACACATTTCTGAAGTTATCATATGCTGATTAATGATTCTGTAGGCTACCTGCCAAGTCCTTCAGAAGAAAGCCAAAATACCAGAGGATACTTCCATGTCAGAAGGATCCCCCCCCACCCCGATCACAGAGATCCCAATGCCAGCTGTGCTGTTTTGGTGTCACTTGATTCTTGAGAAAAGGCACAAAACAGATCCACAAACAAAGTGATGATATGTGGTTGTAACAACCACAATGATAACAATGAGTATCTCCATATGTTGACCTTAGGGTGATGTACTTCTGTGTATCTTCTAAATTTGCTACATTAATTATACATCATGATCAGGGGAAAATAAATCATCCACAGCATGGAACAGTTTTTTAAAGACTCATTTACATAGGATCTTCTGGTTCACCAGACTGTGCTTTTGTATTTCTAGGAAGGGGACTGACTTAGTGGATGACCCTGTGCTTCAGAAAATTGCACAGAAACATGGAAAGACTGCTGCTCAGGTACTCAGAGAAAAATGTGTTGTGCTGGGCTTGCCCTTCTTGGTGTCCTCAGGAGTCCTGGGAGTCGATCTTTCCCAGGAATAGGTTTAGCTGATCTGGATAAGTTCATAATTTTTCAGAACTCTCCATGAATGAATCACATATTGGTTGTAAATGTATTCCCATCCACTGAAACACAGTCTCATGGCCTGCTAGTCTTTCAATATTCAGTGGATAAGTTACAGGCTCTCTTCCTTTGTCTTCCCAAGGGCATGCACAGTTCGCATGAAATGGAACAGAAAAGTCATTTGTAAGAGTCTTCCCCATTCTAACATCCAGTTTATTTGGACACATCATATAACATATCATGTAACTCTAATTAAGGTATGGGAAGGTCCTCCAAACCTCTGCTCACGCATCTCACTTCGAAACGATTTTGATCTGAAAGAATTTCTGATAAATCTCGGGCTGTTACTGACTTTGAACTTCAACTTCATGATAGAATTCAGACTGTGAGAAAAATGCCGCATTTTCACTTAAGGTTTCCTTTGGTGTGATGCAGTCCTTTTTTCCATACAGATTTTGCTCAGATTTCAGATCCAGAGGAACGTAATAGTGATTCCCATAGCTGTCAATCCACAGCAAATTCAAGAATATATGCAAGTAGGTATTTTCCTTCTTCATGCTAGAGGATTAGGATCTGGTATTAGGACAAGATAGCTAATGTAACTGTTTCGAGATCTCTGTGTCTCTGATACAGCAGAGGTCTACTTCTCTGCACAACAGATGTTTGATTTGGTCCTTTCTTTCAGTGATATAGGGCTCCCCGACCCCACGTCGATGTACTCTGCTTCCCCCGGCCCTGACACAGGGTTTTGACTTTTTCTCCACTCTGTTCAAATTGAGGAAGAGGGGAGAGGAACTTATGACATGCCAGGTTTGGGGGTGTCTGCCTCACTTCTACTGACATTGAATTGTCAAGAACCTCATGTGCCTGTACCAGCTTGCAAGGAGCTTCAGTGTTATCCTCCTGTTGGCTCCGGAACCAGGCAAAGCAAACCAGTCTCTGTCACCAAAGGAAATCCTCCCTGGTTACTTGAGAGCTGCTACTTTGAGTCTTAGGTTGAAAGGTTCCAGATCTTGTCTGGTGATTTTTGAGAGGTACAAGTAAAGACCAGTCAGGTAGGTGTCTTCATCTGAAAATATGTGTACAGAATGTTGATGCTCTAGCATCCTTTTGAGAGTAGCATCTTCAACTTCAGGCAAGAACAGTAGAAGTGCCTGAAATTCATGGTTGCAACTATGTGTGGCTTCAACCCTAAAGATGCCATTTATACCACAGTGGTTAAGAACACAGATTTGGGATTTCCAAAGGCCCACCCACTGCCTAACAGCCATGTCACTATTCTAAACCTTAATTACTTCATCAGAATACCATCTCAAAGATTGCTGTAAGAGTTAAATATGATAAAGCATGTAAAAGATTGGCTTAAGGTGCTGTTTTAAAGAAGTACATGGTGAAAACCGAGAGTCAGCAGCAGCTACTGAAATCACCCACAGGAAATCTCTCATGAGCATCAGTAGGTATTGTTAATAGCCAATGCATCTTCGGCACGTCAGTGTAGCGAACTATGTAAGTCAGGAATGAATCACTTGTATATGCAGGTAGGCATTGTGCTGTGATACTCAGAATTTTGCTACTCTGTTGATACGTTAGTTTTCCATTAGCTGCATGTGGCACTGCTTTATCCCTAAAGTTAGTGTAACAACTAGAAAATACCAAATGTGTCCACATACATAGTTTCCTCCTTATATCTGCAAGTAGCTAATTTTGGGAGCCCCTTTGGATGCTAAAAATCTGGGGATGCTCCAAGTCCTTTTGTGCATATTTTTAAAGATTTATTTATTTTTATTGGAAAGTCAGATATACAGAGAGGAGGAGAGACAGAAAGATCTTCTAGCCGATGATTCATTCCCCAAGTGACTGCAACGGCCAGTGCTGCACTTCTAGAAGGAAGAAGTGTTTACTCATAAAGAAAAAATGTATTGGATTACTCATGCTGTTAGTGTTAACCATCTCAAGGACCATGTGGTTAGTGGTATAGGGCTATGAAACAAGTGGTTTTTGCTGAGTTTATTTGGGATGAATGTTGAGTGGTAAAAATTTGTTGCAATAATTTTTAGCTACTTGAAGATGTCTTTATTCACACAAATGAATGCAGTATATATATTCAATCTTGCCAATGGTTCCTAAATAGAACTGAGGCAGAACCAATTCCAGTCAAATTAATGGTATCAAAATGTGTTTTGGGAATCTAGGCTATAATTCAAGGGGAAATTCCAGGTATCTAATGAGGTGCTGCTTTTATATTGTCATGCCACATGCAGATCTAAGACAGTAACTGTTAGTAACAGAAAATAAATACTAAATTGAATGGGAAAAATATTTTCTATTAACATTTTATTCTGGTTCCAGGTGTTTGATTTTGAGTTAACAGCAGAAGATATGAATGAGATCCTTAATCTAGACAAAAATCTCCGACTGGTCACATTTCCCACGTAAATATTTACTTCATTTTAAAAATAAAGAGAGCAATATACAGATTAGATGGATAGTCCCTGAATAAGTTTTTATATCCATTTTAGTTTAATGGAACCTTATTATCATAATTCTTTCCTGTGCAAAGCTGTATTGAATGAAGCTAAAGACTAATTTGATATACTAGGAAGTTTATGTATAATCTCTCTCTCTCTTTCCCTCTTTTTCTCTCCCTCTCTCTCTCTCCCTTTTTATTTATTTTTTTTTAAGATTTATTTATTTTTATTGGAACGGAGGATATACAGAGAGGAGGAGAGACAGAGAGGAAGTTCTTCTGTTCACTGATTTACTCCCCAAGCGGCCGCAAAGGCTGCAGCTGAGTCAATCCGTGAGCTCTTGCGAGCCTCCCACGTGGGTGCAGGGTCCCAAGGCTTTTGGTCATCCTCAACTGCTTTCCCAGGTCACAAGCAGGGATCTGGATGGGAAGCCAGGCTGCTGGGGCTAGAAACAGTACCCATATGGGATCCCGGTAGATGCAAGGCGATTACTTTAACCACTACGCTGTTGCGCCTGCCGGGGCTCTCTCTCTCCCTTTTCAAAAAAATGTATTGTCTTTTGATACAATTTAGTTGGCGGTGGGCTCTCCCCTCCCCATCTCCTAAATTCCCTCCCCTCTACTCTATTCTCCTCTCTAGGTTCATAATGTATGTCCATAGTGAATTTTCCCAAGTCCATCGTGCTTCCACTGGAGTGTCTCCTAGCCATGTAGGAGAATAACTTTTCGTTGTAGGTTAATTCTTGTATCCTGGGGCCCTAATGTAGATACAGTGAGGGTTAGGCCTTCGTTGTTTATAGGTAGTACCAATAACAGTTGTAAGTGGACACTATCTCAGGTGGTAATAAACAATCCACCTCTTGTGGATGGCTAATTAATGAATCACATCACAAGTTCTTGTTACACTAGGTACAAGTAAATATGAAGTAACATTGATTAACACAGGGTAAGATTTACACATGATATCTCTAGATATCATATTGAATTTGACATTAGACATCATATTGAATTATATTAGAGCAAACATATCTGCCCTCCCTTTCCCTCTCTCTCTCTCCCCCCACCTTTCTTTCATTCTCTCCATGTAACTGTCTTGCAAATAAATAACCTTTAAAACACATACATTTTTGTTTCTACTATTCATTTGCTTCTGTTTTTCAGAACTGAAGGTCACAAGGACTACCCTTTCCACGCAGAGTACTAAGGATAGCTTCCTTCTTCCTCAGTTTTGCCCCACCAAGACAAGTGGATGTCATCAGCACCATCACCAAAGAGGATGGGGGAGATCAATGTGCAGATTTTGAGAAAACATTGCCTTATGGAAATTTTTAAACAGCATATACGTGTTGAGAATATATTGTAATGAATCTCTAGCTCATTACTCAACTTTGCCTTCTATCAATTTTGTCCAATTTAGTCCTCCCTTACTCTTTTCTAAACATCTTTACTGTTACACATAGTAAAGCAAATAGAATTAATCTGCAATGTGGTCTCAGTTCAAAACCGAACCCCCCCTTTTTTAACTTTTATTTTTAATTTTGGATTTTATGGTACAATTCTGTTGAGTCTGGGATTCCTTCCCTCTCCCAAATTAAGCCGCCCTTTAAAAACCAAATTCTATTTCTTAAAAAAATTTTTCAGCTTTTCTGGTAAGTCAAATTATACCCAAGGCAACTTCCTATCAGAGGAGACATGGCTCGTTTCCTCTCCTGCACGCATTGCTTGGCCTGTCCAGATCACATCAGGATGAGATGTTGAGCCTTGTTATATTTCTAAAGAACAGAGGGATGTTTTCCAACTTAGGGACAATTCTTTGACCTACTCTTGTTAGACATTTCCTTGAATGTGACAGCTCAGGTGTGTATATGTATGTTTTTTTTTCCTCATTGCCACATAAACTCTATTATTTGCACACGATATAAGTCTCCACTTAATATTTCTATCGCTTGCAGTAGGCAAGAACCTGGATAAAAATGTAGAATGTTCACTTTCATTTTCCACATCAAGAGAGAGAATTAAAGATGAGTACTTGCTACTGCTGTTGGGACACAAAAGCCTGCAAGCCACAGGCTACCACCCCTTTAAGTGTAAAGTTGGCATCTGACTGTCCCAGCCCACCCCCAACACGAGCACATACAGTTGAACTCTCTTGTAGGCACAGTCATCCCTCCAAACACCTCTACTCTACATCAAAATCCAGGACAGTTGTCTCCTTGAGGTAAAGTAAACAGATTCCAGATGCCCATCTCAGGTCCTGGGAGAACTTGGAACTGGCAGCTGGGAATCAAGATTCCTCCTGTGGGCATGGAGAGGGTGATCCCGAGACAGTGTTGCCTCCAGGGGCAAGGGATCCACAGCTCAGTCCTGGGACCTGGAGGCAGCTTGGATCAATGCCAGTGCTGAGAGGCAGGGCAGAGCTCCAAAGAGATCTACCTTCTGGGATAAACAGAGTGATGTCTATGGGGCAAGAGTACACCATCTGCAGGAAGCAGCAGATTCCTGGGCAGAGGGCATTTAGGTTTCCCTGAGTGGACGGCTGGCAAGTCCAGGTGCCTGGAGCCCTGGAAAGGCCAGGCAAGGAGCCATCTCCCAGCAGAGTTTTCCTCAGGATCCACATAGTCTGCCATCACCATGCAGTTCAACAACCTGCCTCCAGGGATTGACTGGCAAGAGAGGAGAGTCGCCTGTATACGGGAGAGAGAGGAGTGGCTGAAGGAAATGCCGGAGAGTCACTAGGCTTGGGCCCTAGGTAGACAGCCATGGGACAGCTCTGCTGGCCCTGGCCCAGTGCCAGTCATGGGTGTGAGGCATAGTGCCATGCAGGGACTTTGGTAGTGGGAGGATCTGCCCAGGGATCACAGCTTTCCCCCTGAACTCCCACGCTGGAAGAGGAAGGTGCTAGCAATAGAAGCAAAGTGGCCACTGCTGCTGGCTCACTTGGAAGAGGGTTCTTTGAATCACAAGAGATAAGATTCCATGATTGATCCACTAAGGTGTAAGGACAGAGATGGGAAATAGGTCAAAAGAACATAAACATCACAGGTGAAACAAGGGAACATAAAACAGGAGAAAACTTGGAGGAACCCAGAGACCCAAAGCCCTGGTTTGCACTCCCAGCTCTGCTCCTGAGCATCCTACACTTAGGTGTTTCCTGCTGATCTGTGAATCGACCTGGATTTTTGAATTTCGCTTGCATACTCTTTCTATCCCCCAACTCATTTTGACCCATTGCTGTCCCCATTGTGGCCAACGTATTTAGGAACCAATCATTGCGCAGCCCTGTTCTCCACTCACTTGTGATGTCATTACGGCCTCAGCCTATGACATGCTTCTCCATTCTATTGCACCCCTACATCCCATCCAATAGCACAGTTCACTGAAAAGACCAGAGGATGGAAGAGTGGGGGTGGATTTTCTGGCTGCCTGTGCTGGGGTTTCCCAGTCACAAGGCAATCAATGTGAGTAAAACTTGATTTGCTTTGGTTTCTTTCTTTCTGTTGGTTGAAATCCACGTGACAGATACCATGCTCCAAATCTATTTGGAAACAAGGAAATCCTCTGGACTCCATGGCGGGTCATGAGTATCCCCCTGAAAGCTGATTTAGAGTTTCTAAAATGATTATCAGCTACTGAAATACAATAAATGTCTTTGTTTTTTCTATTTCCAATATTTTTATTGCAGATATTCTATAACTTTCCTGACCATTTGCAGCTTAGTGAACTTTGGGAAGATTTTCTGGAACATATCAGTATTGCTGCCTTCATGGCTATTTCAGTATCCGTCATTTTCCTCTGGCCAACTGTCCTTGTTGTGAGTATGCTAGAGTACATAGGCTTTTTATGGTAAATAAGGAGAAATTTTTATAATCATTGGGCCATCTGTTTAAATTTCATTCAAAAAAATCCTCCTCTGTTCATTGCACTGTCTTTTTTTGTTTGTTTTTTTTTGGTTTATTTTTTATTTACTTTTGTTTGTTTGTTTGTTTATCATTGCATTGTCTTATCCTATAAATTTTAATGTTTAATTTTACATGCGTATATAATTATATGTAATATAATAACCATATGTATGTGTATAAATGTATAAATATGTATATTTGTGTTTCCTAATACACATGTATGTACGTATTTGTATATATTCATGTACTTGTGTGTGTTCCCTAGTATGTTTTATGATAAAATTAACTTTGCTTCTTCCTCTGCTAGGTAGTATACCCAGTTTGTCAAGGTAAGAACTTTGGCTTCCATTTTCATCTTCTTTCTTTCTCCATTTTGGTATGAGATGTGAGCACTCTAACAGTTATCAGTATAGTACAAGTATCATAAATTTTCTTGACTTCTTTGCTCCTGAAAATTTTAGTGTTCCTGGGATGGTTTCTAGATGATAATGAAGAAAGACTTGTGATCTGTTGAGATAACAGATGAGGAAGAAGTAGCATTCGTGGGATTAGGAAAATAAATTGAGTTTTGCCTGGAAATGTCTAAGGAGCAAGTCATGTTAAAAAGCTGACGTTTGGAGGGAGCTCCGAGACATGCCTGGTTATTGTGGAGTTGAAAATATGGCTAAGAAATAATCTGAGGTCCAGCATTGCAGCAAAGCAGGTAAAAACCACTGTCTGCAAAACTGGCATAGCATATGGGTGCTGGTTAGTGTCCTGGCTGCTTCATTTCTTTTTTTTAAAGATTTTTTTGTTTTTGCCTAAAAGGTAGATTTGCAGAGAGGAGAGACAGAGCGATCTTCTATTTGCTGGTTCCCTGCTACAATAGCCAAAATAGCCAACAGTCAGAGCTGAGCCAAACAGGAGTCTCATATGTGATTGCAGAGGCCCCAGAACCTCAGCCATCCTCTGCTGTTTTCCTGGCTGAAAGGAAAGCATTGGATCATATGTAGATCAGCAAGGACTTGAACTAGTGTCCATATGGAATGACAGTGCTTTAGGAAGAGGATCTGTGTGCCACACCACCATACCAGCTTCTGCTTAATTTCCTGCTAACGGCCTGGGCAAAATCCTGGAAAGATAGTCCAAGTGTTTGAGCCCATGATACCTGCATGGGAGACCTGAATGAAGCTTTCTCCTGACTCAGCCCTGGCTATTGAAGCCATATGCAGAGTGTAGCAGTGGATGAAATGTCTGTCTCTCTGTAATCTTTGTAACTGTTACAAATTAATCGCTGAAACATAAGACTTAGAAAAGAATCTACTTCTGTTACAATAGAGATATAAACCACATGTAGTGATCATGCAAAGGGTCTATAATGTGAGTGGATTACAAAGTGGAGATGGTACATATCAGGGATGATAAATCTCATACAGGTTTTATAGAACACACCTACAGCACACTATCCAGAGCTGAGATGGCTGTCTGACACATAGTATGCCTAAAGTGTTAATGTTTATTTCTCTTTTAAAAAATATATTTTTATGAGAGAAAGAGAGAGAGAGAGAGAGATCTTTCATCTGCTGGTTTACTCCCCAAATAGCCACAATGACTGGGGATAGGCATGACTGAAGCCAGGAGCCACAATACTGGGGCCCCTAACCTGTGTGCAGGAGCCCAATACTTGGGCCATTTTTAAAATGATTATTTCCTAGGGATAGTATCAGGGAGCTGGGTGAGAAATGAAGCAGCCAGGAGTTAAAGTGGCACCCATATAAAATGCTGGCACTGCAGGTGACAGCTTAACCTGATGAACCATGGTGCCATACTTTACCATACTTTCTTATGAGAGATCATCTACTGGGTCGTGGGAAGCCATTCGAGGTCTTGCTGTAGCCAGTCTATCGACACTTTAAATATCCCTTTGATGGATTTTCAAACAATGACTGGAAGTGAATAAAACCTGGGAAAATGATGACCTCCAGGGAAAGATATTTATCTGTCTTCATAATGAGAGGACAAAAATATGAATAACTAGGGTGCTTGACTTTCAGTTTAATCTCTGATGAACATGGAATGTTCCACGAAAAAAAAGAACCAACTTCTAAAGAAAACAGAGTGCTTTGGTCAAACTTTTCGTTTCCCCCATAGTACATACCATTTTAAATATGGATATCATTGACACTCGGTTCTTATTTTTTTTCTTAGTTTTACTGGATTTAAAATTTCCTTAAGCAAAGTTTTCTTTCTTCAGACATAGTGGTAAAAACTAAAAAAGTTATTTTCTGACCATAGTGTTAGAGAATGAGGAGTTTCTACTGACACA